ATCACATTTACACAGTACAGTCGATGCAGTTTTTCCCCCACAACATGTACACAATGCGCCTCATTTTGTTACAATTCAACTATCGGATGGGAGTATATCACAACGGCACAAAGCCTGAAACAAAAAGGTTCTCTCGGGAGGTCTCAGCCAAAACTGCCATCAAGTTATTAGCCAGGAGACCTTCTGTGAGTGATGGCCTTGGGAACCTGATGGGAGACAGGGACTTAGCTCATGTCCAGCAGGTGTTCCTGTTCACAAAAGGTCTCTGTGGGCCTCAGAGGATGGATTGGGGTCAAAGAGTATCACCAGGGTCTCAGCTGCATGCGATCATGAAGATACACTGTCACCACCAGAATATTTGACTTTAAAAATAACATAAAAAATTGGCCTGGTGGGGTAAAGCTGCCCTTTATGTGAAGCTACTTAATAGCCAGTTTGACTCAAATTCAATGATTGGATATTGTCTTGCAGGCATCGTCGAGAGGCTTTGAAAGCACAAAGTTGCAAAACATTAAGTTTAAAAATTCAGCTCGAATGATTTTGGTAACCAACTGGTATAAAAGTGATGTACCCTTTAAATAGCCAATTTTGGACCAACAGCACCCCCCGGGGTGGAAATCTTTAAAGTATAATCTATATTTAAAGCATACAAAGAGTGAATATTCCATCCTCATTACAAGCACCATTTGGTTATCAAAAGCACCTTTTGAGCGAGGCAGTCTTGAACATCTTAAATCACATGAATTGCACTTCCCCACAGTAAATTCATGCAACCGTAAAATGGACCCAATCTCGTCAAAATCCTGAGGGGGAGTAGAGTAGGCTGTATTAAATTACTCAATAGCATTTACCATTTGCGACGCTATGCATTCCTCTTTTTAAAAAAAAAAAAAAAAAGTTTTGACAGTCAAGAGTACACTCTGCTGGTAAAAAAACGGCAGTACCACACGTCAATTTAACTTCGTGATTAAATGGCAACAACCTTTTGTCTTAAAAAGACAGTCAAGAGGAAAAACAAATTCTGGTCAAAACATTTAATTTTTAACACAGTCAAGAATGTAAACAACGTCAAAGTTTTGCTGTACATTTACATAACTTTAACAGCAGCATAAATGTGACAACATTTGTAAATAAAATCCACAAGTTTTTCAGAGCAATGGGTAATAGGCATTTGCGCGGAAAAAAAAAGTGGGGATCAATCACTATCATTTAACAGATTACATCTGATGCAGGTGTAAGATCAATAGCCAAATCAATCTTTAAACCGACACTTTCATACAGATTTAAAACTGATTAAAAGCAGCATAAAAAAGGGATAAAAGCTTTTGGGGTGGGGGAGGGTTGTCATAAGGTGAAATATGTACAAAAAAAAAAAACATTTACACAAGGTCAAAGTCACTGCGTTAGCTGCTTCAAAAGATCTTTCACAACGGAAGACTTGAGCTGTGAGATCGTTGCAATCCTCATCTGTTTTGAAGTAGAGTACTTGTCTTTGACAGCCTGTGAAGTCAGATGAAAATAAATAAGTATTCAGATGCCGTTCTGTCAGTCAAAGTCAAGACAACCAAGACAGCCCCTTACCATATGCTTCGTTTGACCTTCATTCACCTTGACAACATTTCTGGCAATGTGTGCCATGACTGGAACCAAACTGTCGGCGGTGTAGTCCATGTAATGTTGCAGCGTTGCGTCCTGAAGCAAAGTAAAAACACACAATTTCACCTCATGGCAATATTGATCACTAATTTCCAACCACGGGCAACTGTCCAGTTTCACTTAACTCACCCATTCTCCCGCATCCAGCAGCTTGAGCGTGAGCGCCAACGCGGCACTTGCCGCCATTGAAGGCGGGTAATGAACCATTTGGTAGTCGATCATGGTCAGCTCGAGCAAGTATTTTGCCAGGGTGTGCTGCTCTGCAGTCACCTGAGTGAAGAGATCTCAGTTAAATATTTAAAACCCACCAGAGAGAAAAACAAAGTCGAGTTTCTGCAACAAACTTCATGAATCTTTGAGGCCCTTCTGAGGAATTGCAGAGGGAGAGGGCGGCCAAGTTGAAATTTTAGCACACGCAGGATTGTCATTTCCATATCTCTGATTTGGGCAGTAGTGTAGGCCTGATCCGTAACCAAGGCAAAGTCCATGATCTCTGGTGGATACATCTCCTCGTACTTTGAAGCTAGGAACATGGCGGTCACTCCGACAAGCTGCAGCTGCTTCTTGGGGACTGGGTTGTCCTATCAAAAAAGGCAAACAGATAGATTGTCACCACATTTTTTTTTTTTTTTGTTTAGCATTTCATGAAGCAAGCACTCTGATTTACCTGAAGAAAGCGGTCAATTATTCCCACAGTCATGTACATAGTCTCCTGCAGCAGGCGGAACTTCAGGCTCACTTGGACTAGCCAGTCGACAAGTATGGCCCGCATGTTGCCGGTCACTTCCTGGTCTTTAAGATAATTGGCTCGGACATTCTGCTCAGCCTGGGTGGCGAAGAGAGAGAAAAGAACCAAAATCCTGAGTAAAGCATTTTATTCATCCAATAACCAACTGCCTTACCGGAGAGTACACTTTAATATAGGTTTTCTCTGGCCTTTGAATGCTCAGAGTTTTAAATTGAGGTCACAAACTACCCAAATGGAAACCAACTCTGATTGGCTTTCAACATGCCAAGAGAAGAGATCATTTCACAACAGGGAAACAATTCACTGAAGTGTACAGAAGTCAACGTTGTCCCAGCTCTAATCATGACCTATCCCATAACTGACAGTGCATCATTTCCTCACCTCCAGCTGACGCATATACTTGTATATATCTTTTACATATTCGCTGCAGAGCATCGGGTTGTCGTAGTCATCGGCATCCACATCCTTGATAGTGCTGTGGAGAATAACATCAGAAAATGCTTGACACAAGTCAGCTGGCTCACAGCCTGAGGTCTCCATTGGAGTTGGAGACACTGACTCGGGTTCAGGCACCGGCACCACCTAAAACAGGTATAAAGATAGTTTAGCAGTTAAACAGATATAAATAGACCACAATTAGAATTTACCTGTACCACAGGAACATTTTGTGCTTTAGGCTCAGCCTTTTCAGTCACAACGGGTGCTTTGGTCTTTTTAACAGCGTGTGCCTTGACTGCCTAAGAAGTGGACATCGTGAGCAAAAATGACACTCACTGCAATCAAAATATTTCACATGTAATCATGCAACAAATCTATTGACTGCCTCGTCTTAACAGTGGAATACTTCAGGAATTTGGAGAGTGGGAGCATTACTAAAATGGCTTGCTGGAATTTGATCATTGCTAAAGCCAGGGGGATATAATGAAACAGACCCTCGATTACAATATTTTTAAGAGTATTACCTTCTGGGGCTGTTTGCTGCCTGGGACATTACCAATGTCCCCAAGAGCGGCTCGCGTCTTGAGTGGGGGCCCAGTGACGGAGCATGTCTTTGAAGCGAGGTCAGTCCGGGTGGAGGTCAAGCGGTTCTGAAGAGAAAATTGAAAATTAAATTTTTAAAAGTAATAATTCATTTGGGGGGCAGGGGGTTGGTCCGCAAATACAGCATTGTTGAAAAGGGAAGGTGGGGGAAAAAAGATCATTGCTGCACAGAAGCAGAAGCTGTATCATTAATACTAAAATTTTAAGATTATCGGAAGGTTAAGCATATAAACCGCCACCACGCCAATCGAAGATGCACAAACAGTCATTAGAAGTTATAAATTACTTACTCTTGTAGCGCGAAAAGCCATTCTTAAATGCCCGTTTCTTTGGACGCAGCGTTCTGAAACCAAGAAGAGCGTTGAACCCGAATCACACTACAGCAAGCTGTTTGTCTTGGTTTAAATCCTTGCGCACTGCGAGCCGATTGGCTGGATCAAACTGTCCGGCGACCTGATTGGTCGAACGCATCTGCGCTCAATGCGTTCCCATGACTCCGGACAAAAGGAGAAAAGAAAAGAAAACACAAAAATACTTTTTTAAAATAACTATACCCTCCCGGTCAGGTTTAATCATGTATAAATATATTTAGATCGCGTGTATTATAAACAGTTTTTGGACTCCGACAATCACGTGGCCTTTAAAATCTCCACTTCCTTTTCCTGTTTTTCTATGACGTATTATTCTAGAGTGGGTATGTTAAAAAAAAGCTAATCATGTGTCTGCTGGTGATTCGACACATAGATAAAAATGAGCCCTCATTTGTGGAAAAAAATGTGAAGGCACCTTTAATGCTGAAAGCTCCTACAGGTTTTGGAGAAATAATGCTGCTATCCAAGCAATGCCTTTTTCATGGATGCCCCTGCTTATTTCAGCAAGACAACACCAAACCACATTCTGTGTCTGTACGTGTTACAACAGTGTGGCTTCATAGTAAAATAATGCAGGTACTGGACTGGCCTGCCTGCAGGCCAGACCTGTCTCCGGTTGAATATATGTGGCTCATTACGAAGTGCAAAAAACGACAATGACGAAGTACAATAAACCTTTGTATATTTGCAAATTTCCACAGTGTGGGACAAATAAAGGTTATCTTATCTTATCCACCTGTTGCCATTCATACATCAAAATAAATTGTGGCTGTCTGGGAATATTTCATCTTTGTGTTCACTTAAAACTGCTTGGGAGTAAATTTGAGCTGAGAGAGATCAATATTATTTTCCCAACATTTTGGTTTGGTACTGATTCGTTGGGAGTTCTCCCTCCCCAAATCTGCAATGGTTGCACTGAATCAATAAAGTTTGGGAAATATAGGTTGTGCACACCAGTGGAAGTTATACAAAGAAAGTTCAGTTGATGAGAGGCCTTGAACGCAGCAGACATCTTTCTACAAATTACGACTACAGTACAGAACACCGCTAATATGTTGATGTGCAAAACACTCGGCCATCTACTTGAATGAATTGTGCAGACCAATATTTTTTTTTGAAACATCCTGCTTACGCCCAAACACATCTTCCTCTCAGTCAGAAGTTCATAATTTCCATGACGTCCACCGGAAGCGGGGTCCCTCAACGCAACATGAAACAAAACCGATGCCAGCTCTGATCAGCTCCACAGTTCACGCTAGGACGCTAGCGGCAGAGGAGCCCAGTTCTGGGTCGGACGACGACGACGACGAGGAGGAGGGGAAAAAACGCAAAAAAATAGACGGTCCTAAGTGTGCACTCACATCCAATTCGTTATACCGTTTATTCGAAAAGGAAAACAACGGTCATCTGACATAGCCGGTAAGAAAACTTCATGAGAGCAAGCTAGCATTGCTGGTTGTTTGGTGCGTTTCTGAGGTTGCTGTAACCTTATCGACTTGGTTTTGGATGTATGATTAGATGTAAAATGAATACGAATGCATCGTCGCAAGTGTCGCAATAATTGTTACTGTCAGTTTAAACTTGTGTCATCATAAATTGATGATGTCGGTATAAATCCATTTCCCATGTGTCGAGGTTTATTTTGGGTGTTGTTTATATATATATATATATATATATATATATATATATACACACACGTCAGGAATAATATTTGCGTTGTCC